ACATATATTTGTAATAGGTTTGTTTTTTCTTGGTTTTTGATTTCTTACTCTACTGCATTATCTGCAAAACAAAAGAATCCTCGTAGGTATCACTACAAGCAGATTAAGTGCAACATAAAGGAGCGTTTATGCATTGCCTCTTTAGCACATTTTGTATAAAACACTTAGAAGTCATGAGAAGTGTGCTGTTTTAAAACAAAATTCAAATAATCATATTTGGCCTTAATTTCAGATTTTGAAACATGCAGTAATAATTATGCAGTAATTTATATTTGCAATATAATCTACTGCACTAATTTTAGGTTTGCCTCCAGTTGAAGAAAATGTTTGAAGTATGGATACCTTTAAAAAAAACTCTTCTGTTTCCTTTTCTGAGGGAGTTCATTATCTTCTAGCATCTCTGTAGCAAATAAAGTCATGGAAAAGAGTGTTATTTTGTGTTTTCACATTTTATCTACAATTGGTTTGGAACTACTGCTTTTAGGGAAAAAAGGTAATTGTGATGTCTGTCTAAATTAACACATTACATTAATTTCTTATTATATGAAAAGCTGCAGAAAACTGGTTTCTCCTCCTCCTCCTATTTTTTTTTTTTTTAATTTATTTATTTTCAGGTAGTTCATTGTAGTGTCTCACAAAGTTCTAGAATTCATTTCAGGCCTTCAATCTCCCCTGCATCTCTAACACCATTTTGGGATGCATCACAGGATCTAGGTTACGTAGAGTCTCAAGGAAGCCTCACGTAGAGACCTGGGGGCAGAAGTAAGTTTAAGCACAGCTTCAGTGAAAGCAACATTTCTGAATAGATAGTATTGGATGTTTGTTGAAAATCTTAAGATTTCCAGTATTTTTTTTTTCTTTACTGAATGAAATGCAAACATCTCTTGTGGAAAAGCAGATACTTAAAAAATTACACATACAATATTTCCACCGAAAAAGAGGTTGGACCAGTTGATGGGATCCATATTTCATGGACAATTCTTGGAATTGTAGCATAGGATTTACACAGCAGGTTTTTCTACAGAAGCCATTACGTGGCAGTGATGACAAGAAGCTTTCATCTTTGGTACTCGGTAGAGTAAAGGAGGATGTATAGCTTTTACCAAGAGAATGACATAGATTTATTATCATGATTTACTATACGTAATTATCTGTAGAGTCAAATATATCTTGTTGCAATGTAATCCATTTGTGTTGTTCTTGAAAGAATTTGATTTAAAAAGAAATACTGTTTCCTGTGATGACAAGCCAACTTCAGCTCCATTCACATAATCCTGAGTTGAGATTAGGCATTTAACTAGTCAAATCAATAGACTGTGTCTGTAAACTTGCTCCATAGAGAATCAAAATGCGAAAGTTAGTGTTGTTGTGAATCCAAATTTCATCTGCAGTTGTTCTGAAAGATTATATTTTCCCATGCTTTTCTTCTGATTGATCAATCTGTGTGTTTCTTCAAATCTCTAGACATAGAGATCATAGAGACCAGAAACTTTGGATTCTGAGTGATGAAATTTAGGAAGTCATTAATACTACCCAATATCTAGTGTTTCCCATTGGAATTGTTTTATACCCAAAGCTGGGAAACAAAGTATTATTGAAATGAAAAGCAATATAAAGACAATGAAACAATCTAGCTTCAGCAGATAATAGTATCAGTGAAAGTATGGAAGAAAAAAGATTATTAGGATAGAATAGAAGAAAATAGTAAGAGTCACAAATAAAACATTTATGACCTGGTCCTTAATGTAATTTTTCTATGCCTTGCATAACCTTGTCAGATACTGAAACTGTTTTATTTGAAAGGGGAATTAATGACAGTGAAAACTACCCTTCACCTTTGCAACTGCATAAATTTTGTAAACTTGGATGCTGATACTATGCTAAAGTTTCTAATTTATGCATATGGTCTCCTAAAGTAATTCTTCCGTCAATGCAGCTTCAGGGCTGTATTACTAAATCCCTTCATTCATGAACAGAAGTAACAGTGAGTATTTACCCCTCTCTCTCAATAGCATTACTGGATAAAGACAAAAATAAATAGCTAGGATATTTACATTGTATCTTAGGCTTGCTGAATAAGTGTGCCATATTACCTGGTGGCAGAAGTGTATAACAGTGGGAAGATTCAAATTCTTTGTGTCAAGAAGTTATTAAATAACTAAACTACTTGCTTGAGAACCAGCAACAAAGCAATTTGTTCTTGTCTGCTAGAAGTGGTTAAATTATGAAAAATTGTCCTCTAAAGATCTAACTGATCCATGAATCTAATTTGTGAACTGTACAGCATTCAGTGTGTTGTAGCACTGTGTATCTCATATTTTCTATATTAAAAGTAGTGAGATATGACCAATGTCAGTGTTAGTTTATGCATTATATAGGTAATATCTCCAGGCAGGGTAATGAACTGCAAGATATGAATAGCCTAACAAAATATCTAATTCATTTGGGGTGGTGGGGTGGGTTATTTTAATTAACTTGTAAATGTATCATGTTTCTGAAACATAATTCTTTAATAGGCAATTTAAAAAATACTGTTTAGTCCAGTAGAAGTAGATAGCAATGCTATGCCAGCTTTGATCAATTTAAACAAATAAATAAAAATATAAAAGACATGGGAAAATATAATTGTGATGATAAAGAATCATTTTGTTTAAGTAGATAAACAGAATTGTACACGTAGAGGACTGTTAAAAATCGTATGCATTAAATGATTCTATCACAAGGTATACTGTTAGGGTAAACTCAAGGAATGGGAAGGGGGTGGGGAAATAAACTGATACCTAGATGAAAGTCAATACAACAGAAGGCCTAATAGAATTGTGTTTTATGAAAATGTTCCTTTTTAAAATGAAACCACTAAACAAAAAGCATATATATCTAATATCCAGGTAAGTACGTCTGTATTGCTTTTCCTGGTCTCATTTCTCCCAAACAAAAGCTTCCAGGGAAGACTTTACAGGGGAACTGCTCTACCATAACATAACATGTAACATAACATGGCATAACATGACATAACACAACACAACACATGACATGACACAACATAACATGACATAACACGACACGACACGACACGACACGACATAACATAACATAACATAACATAACATAACATAACATAACATAACATAACATAACATAAGGAAATGTGGTGAAAGAAGTATTCTTTTCCCCTGTCTTCTGAAGTGAAACAACATATTTTTTTCCTAATTAAACAGATGATCTTGTGATGAAAACACTTGTGCTAACATTTCCAGCTAGTACCACTCAGAGTTGGGTCCTCTGCAGTTTTAAATGTTGCCTGCTAAAGAATCACATGGCTTTTTGAACAGATGAAATTATTTACAGAACAGTTATTTTGTACACAGCCATATACAAAGTAAAGAGGATCCGAAGAACATGGAATTTTTTGCCTCTTCCAACTTACTTGAAGGCTTCCATAAGCATTACATGGTCTTTTCTTTACAACAATCAGGTGAATAAGCAATTAGCTTTGGACTTTAATGATGAAAGGAATTTCCTCCTGTGTCTGTACCACACTGAGGTCTGGCTTAGTTACCCAGGTACTGATACAAAGCCAACTGACCTGCAGATAAAACAGTGTCTTGATGGAAAAGTGGAAAAGTGCATTGTGAGGGAAAAGGAAAGAAGATGAGTTCATGTTAATAGCATTTACCTTAAAATGGCATTTAGCTCATCTATAATATATTTCATGTTTGGATCTCAAAAAGGTCACAAAGGAGAATGAACGATGTCATTATTTATGAAGTGAGGAAAACTTCATGTTTCATGGTTCATGGTTTATAACAATGGTTTATAAAGTTCACGGTTTATAATGATGAACTGAATTACCTTGTAGCACGTCATGATACTTTTGTAGTGCAAGTAATAATTGTCATTGGCTTACCCACTTGAAAAATGATTACTGAAATCATTCTTTCCTGTTGGTATTTATAACATAAAAAACATTTTTTGTGGTCAACTTTTTATTTAGATACATAAATCCAAAGGTATTACCATAAACAGAACTAAGAATATAAATTAAGGCTATTTTTGGAGGTTAACAGCAATCGCCTATTTTAAACAAGCTGTGGGGCATGAAGAAATGTAACTTCTCCTTTTCTTTATTCAAAATCTGTAACGGAACTTAAAAAAAAGCTATGTACATATATGTGTGTATTTCATACAGAAATGCACATAACAGTTGCTTACTTTCATTCAAAAAAGTATAGGGCAAATTACAGCAATTCTATTTAGTAGAAAGCTACTACGGTGAACCTAAATCTTTAAGGCTTTTAATGGTTCAGAAATATTTCAAGAGAAAAGAAAACAGTATTCCATTAGAAATACCCCAATTTTCAAACTGCTGTAGATGCTACACTGAATGAAGCTTTGGACTGATTCTGTGATGGAAACTAGTAATCTTCTCCTTCATTGCTTTGCTTGAATTACATGGTACAGTGTTTCCACAGAGCCGCCAGGATCCACTCTACGCTGTAACAACCAGACTGTCCTGTGATGTATTTCCCAGATTTTATTTCCACCATGGGAGGTGAATAAAACAATAAACATGTGCGCAACAAATACTTAACCCACTTAGCAATGCCCATGCGTCATTGTATCTATTGCCTGCTAGATGTCGTGGTGCATAAATCGCCTAATTGCATAGTGAGAGTTGTATGTCTGTAAAAGAAGCAGCTTACAGAAGTCTTTTATGAGCTCTGGATTTTGTCCAATGTTGTCTGTACTTTTTCTAGCTGGCTTTTTGAGTGACTTATGTAGCTTACCAGGGAAGAATCATTAAATGAATGAAGTTAAACACAAGCATGGGAAATATTACATGCAACAGAGAGCAAACAAAGGCCTGATTCTGTCATATTTCAAAAAGAATACATAAAGAAATGCCGGTTTATTTTAAAATGTATTTTAGTACAAATTATTGCTAGTAAACTTTATTCTCTACTTTCAAACTAACAGAACTACTTTTCTTTCTCTTACAGAATAATGATATAATCTATTACAATGCAAAAGATGATCAGAATGATGTAAGTAATATGTTTCTTTTCATTTCATTGCCTGTAATCTCAGAAAATTAAAAGATTGAAAGTATTAATGAAACTCTAAGACTAGCATTTAAATATTTTGCAGAAACAAGAAACCAAGAAGCTTAGAAATGTCTTCAAAAGTTTCCTCAAGAGCCAAATAATATTTTATGTTCTAATTCTCAAAGTCTGTCTTCTCTCATACAGTCTGAGTTACTGATCAGGCAGGGAATGTGCTGGGAGAAAAAAGATCCTGACAGCAGTATCATTCACTTTTTGAAATGTAATAAAATCGTAATTATCGGACTGGAGAATCAAAATGATAAATGTAAATAATTTACTTTACTCTGAAGGAACCATTTTCTGGCCCTATTTTCCAAGCTTATATTATCTTTTTCTGTATTCTTTGTAAGAAATTTTTTACATGAGGGGAAAGCAGATGTAAACTGCTACTGAATGACTATTTGCATGTACTTTGTGATCACTCACATGACTGTAATAAGTTTTGGGGAAATTGAAAATCCAGTCCCAAGATTTAGACAAAATATATGATATTTCAATTCCTGGTTCTACTAAAACTCTTACTTTAAGTGGTTTGAAGTTTCCTATCTGGCTTTAGCTATTAAAAATCTTAATGTCTTCTGAGGAGATAATACAACTGCTTGTTTTCATTATAGATTTAATTTATAAAACTATAGAAAAAATGTTATAAATGTATTAATCAGAATTGCCAGCATGCTTCATTTGCACTTTTTAATCAAGTATTCTTTAGAGATTGATGGCATCACTATTGTAACTGATGCTTCTGCTGTAAGGCAATTAAAGAAGGCACATAGATCATGGCAAGCAGAACGATTTGATATGCTTATATAGACTTACGAGTATTGGAATTCAGATACAACAAAGTCTACTGCCCTGAGTTTTGAAATTTGCATGCTTTAAGTAAAATTCATTAAAAGTAACCTAAATTTGAAAGATATTGGTCTCTTCTGATTAAATTCACTGGGACTGCAGGTGCTAATCACTTCTGGAAACAGAATTACAAAGCTTAAACATTGGACTTTGAATCTGAATGTACCATATAGTGATGGTACATTATGGTGTGAAGTAAAAGACCCTGCTTTATCTGTTGTGATTAAATAGTATTGGGAAAGGTCTTGAGGTGATACTTCTATGACATAAATCCAAATTTGTTAGGCAAGGCAGGAAAGGAAATACTGTTCCAGAGTTTACTCTCATTTTCTCTGACTTTTCTCAGGATATTTTTTCCCCCAGAAAAAAAACAAAACAAAACAAAACATGCCTCCCCTAAAAAAAAACCAAACCAAACCAAACCAAACCAAACCAAACAAATTTATTCCACCAGGTGTCCTACTTATATTTCTGTTTGTTTTCTTTCTTTTTATGCCTTTTTGAACTCTTGGAATGAAGTTTATAATAACCTTTACTGTTGAGTTAAGAATAGTTCCTTGTGAGTCAGGGCCGACCTGTCAAGAAACAAATAACATTGTAACATGGCGTCAGCAACACAGAGTGCAATACCAAAACCCAACACCAGCTTGAGTTATTATTCTGAAATGTTTTGAATCACAATGAAAAATTTTAAGTCCTAGGAATTTCAGCTTAGTGAGCTGAAATGCTTTGCAGATCTGTGCTACATGGACTTTGTAAAATATAAAAATATAGCCTTGAGACTGTGGTTCTGTTTGAGTTGGCAGTATGTTCATAGGGCTATATGTGTTGAAATAAGTATTTTTCTTTTCTTCATAACAGTCCTCAAATCAAAAGGTTAAAGAGGGAGAAGGAAAAAAAGGAGTTTTTTGTTTTGTTTTGCTTTTAATCTCTTTATTTAATTCTAAGTTTAGAAAGCAATGTCAAGGGAAAAGATAGTAAGAAAGTACAGTATTTACAAGCTCTGGTTCTTTGAGAGTGTGTGCTTTCTGGCAGTCATTTAAGCTTTTTTGGCTAGCTGATCAGAAGAAATGTTTTGACTTAAGGAAATACCATTAAAAAGTTGTAATTACACCATGAAAAGAGAGTCTCAGATATCTCGGCCACTGATACCTCATGGGTTCAGCACATCTGCTAAGGGCTGGATTTCTTCATCCAGCAGGTTTCTCTAAACATACTCGAATTCTGCTTCTTCACAGCCAAAGAAGAGCAACGAAGCTGGTGAAGGGTCTAGAGCACAGGTTCTATGAAGGGCAGCTGAGGGAGCTGGGGTTGTTTAGTCTAGAGAAAAGGAGGCTGAGGGGAGACCTTATCGCTCTTTACAGCTACCTGAAAGGAGGTTGTAGTGAGGTGGGAGTCGGTCTCTTCTCCCAAGTAACAAGCAATAGGATGAGAGGAAATGGCCTCAAGTTGCACCAGGGGAAGTTTAGATTGGATATTAGGAAAAATTTCTTCACCGAAAGGGTTGTCGAGCATTGGACCAGGCTGCCCAGGGAAGTGGTTGAGTCCCCATCCCTGGAGGTATTTAAAAGACAGGTAGCTGTGGTGCTTAGGGCCACGGTTTAGTGATGGACTTGGCAGTGCTAGGTCAATGGTTGGACTTGATGATCTTAAAGGTCTTTTCCAACCTAAATGATTCTATGATTCTTGCTATTTAGGAAAGGCTAATATTTCATAATGATGCTAAACGTTATCTTCCTTCAGCTGCAATATCAGTATTAATTCTTAATAAACAAAATAAATCTTATTTATATTATACAGAAAGAACAATTCTTTTAGAGATGTAATTTATACACTCAGATTTGGATCCCTTTAAAAGGCCCAGTATTTCAGGAACCGCTAACATGCATCTCCGAAAAAAGTCTCTTCTGTGTGTCTTGAGTTTTTCACTGTTAAAATCTTTATGCAAATATTTCTTAAAAAAATTAAAATGTAGGAATTCTTTTCCTTCGCCAGTAAATTTGAGACTGATTAGATACATGCAGATTAGGAATCCAAGAAAAATGTATATTCTAATTGTAGCACTTTGTTGGGAATAGAAAGTTGTGAGTATGCTTACGGATGATTTGCATCTCATTAAGGTGGTAGGAATCAGTTAAATAGTTTTTGATAAAACACGCTGAGTGTGAAAATAGCTGTATTTGTGCCTGTGCTGTTGTTGTTATCAGTAACCTAACTGGAAAGAAGAAACAATAAGGATAAGATGGTCAGTGATCTGATATTGAATTTTTTTTAGAAAACATGTATTCAGGTGTCAACTATGTATGCAAACACCACATACTCTTCTCCCCTGTTCCTGCCTTTAAAAATGCTTGAGAGGACTTGGGTGACATCTTTTTTTTTTGTAGAGATTTTAATAGAATCATCTCTGAAGCACTGGCTGGTAAAACTGCTTTTGCCATCCATTCTTTGCTGTCTCTAACAAGTTCATATTTTTTTCTCTTCCATGCTGTGAGCCTTCATTTTATCACAGGACATAATATTATATTTCTCTTTCAGTACAAGTAGGAATAATTAGTAATTTATTAAAAATAAATATCTAAGCTAATCACTGTGGATAACTCTAGAAAGCTGCTCAGTTTATTCTGAGATAAGTGTCTAAAGTCAACTGAATCACTTCTAGATGTGTGTTTCTCTCTGTTGACCATGTTCCTATAATGGACCCTTTTAAATCTTAACTTTTAAATGTTGAAGAATTAGAAGAAATTAATCTCACAGGTCCTTCCTGCCAGTTTTTATTTGTCTCTACTCATCCTTTTAAAATTATAGCTTTATCTGAAGAACAATCCTCTAACTTAAATTCTGTGCTTTTTTTCTGGTGTATGTTAATCTGCTGCAGCATCGCTTGCCTTCCTTCTTTCTTCCTGTTTATGTACCGCAGCCAGGAGATCCTTCGCTCTCATTTTTCATCTGCTGTCTCGATGGGCCTTTTTGAATCTAATGACTGTGTTTGCTTGGACCTTTTTTTAAAAAAAAAAAAAGCACGTGAAGACCAATCATCCTTTGCCCTTGGATTTCTCAGTCTCTCAGATAAAACAATCAATTTGTAACCTGTAGTCCATCAACCAGTAATATACCTCTTGTACTCTTTATCCTACAACAGCAATTAGATTCTACTTGCTTATTTCCCCCACAGCGCTGTACGTAATGTGTGAGCTGTTCCTGATAATTTATGAGTTTTATCCTCACAACAAGGTAGGAGGTATTATATTCCATTTTTTCATATCTCATAGGAAGATAATGGCCAAACTTGTAATTTAATACAGGTCTCTTAGGTTTTCATTCACTGTCCTATTCCCTAGAACCCTTTCAGTTTGATATATTGCAGTCTCTGTCGTGCACTTTAATTTGCAGGTGTCAAGTGCTTGTGTCGTATTTGGACGAATGCTGCAGTGCTTTTATTGGACAACTGAGTGGTACCACATTAAGATGCCCTTTCCCATAAGTTTTACTATTGCTTTGCCTGTTTTCTCTTCTTGTCCTTTGTACCCCACCCTATTTATAGTCATCTTTCCTTCACTGTTCAGTTCTTTTTTCTTTTTTGTACTGGTCTCCATTTTATTTCTAGTGATTCCACATCTTCTTTATAGATTCATTCTATATCTAATTTTTCTGTTTCCGTGGGTTCAGGTAATCCACCTCTCCACTATGCACTGAATTGCTCGATTGCTTAATTTACGTTCTTCCTTGATTCCTTCCTTAATGTTTCTCTTGTCTCCTCTTTGCATCTTGCTCCTTTTCTACATTTTTAAAGTGTAATTTCTTGTTATGGTTTTATAAACTCCTTTCTACACAAGCTACAACAGCCTAAGGAAAAGAAGACTGAAATTTTTCAGGGATTTAACTGAAAGGACAAAGTATTACAAATAAAAACCCAAATGTTTCTTTAACGTGAAACCAGCCACACCTCACTGGAAGCTTGCAGCTCCTCTGTAGGTCTTACTCATTAGGCTTTAATTGGGAGCCACCAGTTGCATCTCCTGGCAAGAGCTGTGTCCCTAGTTAGCACAAGTGATTTATTAGAGATTTCCTTCATGCAATGCAGTCCTATG